TACTAGCTTCATTCCAATTCTTATTATAAAATAATTCAAATTTGTCTCTATAAATTAAGACAAAAAATGGTGGCATTTCTTTTGCTTTTCTTATGGTCTAGTATTCGATTCAATAGTTCTTTTTTCTTTCTTTTTCCTTTCTTGTTCCAATGCATAGGAAAGAGGAAGTATTCTTAAATTCTTCGAGGACCAACAGTACTTATACTGTGTTGAAATAGAAGGCATATCCAAGTTCAGTTTTCCAAAATCTAATGGAAATTCTTAGTGTAGATTACTAAGAAATAAAAACTGAACAATCGTACTGCGTAATAAATTTTGTTTTCGAGTAGGCGAATGATTGTTGCTTTAATAATGTATCGCGTATGCGTTTCTTTGTATAAGCGAATTTAGATACAGCTCATATCCTTCGTAAATTATATATGCTTTCATTGAATTAATAACTACGTGAATGAATAAATTATGTACTTTGTAAGTTACTGCTGAACATGGGATGGCTGTGTAATTACGGGCGATGCTTTCAGTGAAAGTGTCTTGTATCCATTAAAGCCTTTAAGTAGCTTTTACATTATTAATCGTTAGTCTTAGACACATACTGTCAGTTATTCAAATGTTTTAAATGACGCATATGTTTGGGCATTTTTTAAATTAAAAACGAAATCAGTTTTGTTGTAAGGATTTAATTTATTCTAACCAATTATTTTTAAATTGACTTTCCTTTCTTTTCTGCTTTCAGTTTCCTGCTGGAATGTAAAATTTTATAGTAGTAATCAAATTTAGATGTGTTTCAGAAGCAGTATTGAAGCTACATTTCAAGATTTCAAAAAGGGTAGTAGCGGACTTAGTTTCGATGTTTATTCTGCGAGTTTGAAACTAGTCGGGGTTCGACACCGACTCGGCTTTGCTATGTGCAGCCGATTTAGCGTTAGTTAACCTAAGAGCCAGTCATTAGCTATCTTAAGTTAATGTGCATTTTACATTCTTATTTTCTGTTAATTTAGTAACCACAAGTGGTGATGAATTAATTTAGTAGCCACAAGTGTTGGTGACTAAAAATGAACAGATGCACGCGCTTGGTGCCACAAGTGGTGGCAGAGTGGTCTCTAACAGAGAATTGAGACTAATAAAATTTTCCAAGACACTTTGTCTAAATTAAAAAATTTTTGTAGCGAAAAAGTTTCAATTGTCTGTTTTGGCGAAACGCGTAATGGGGTTAGCTTAATTCGACGTTCAAACAAATTAAATTTCCCTTGAAAAGCCAGTTTGGAAGTCGAGTTGGGCTAATTTACCATTTTCCGCTTACTTTTTTATCTGATTTGTATTTTTTATCTGTTTTTTAATGTTTTACACGTTTAATGGTTTGATTTTCGTATGTATTAATTTTTTAAAACGTGTTGAACTTTTTGGAGCAACAGCTCCTGGTAACTTTTAGGCGAGCTTACTACAATTTCTAAATATATTTATATATATATATATCCACTCTGTTACCCGTTTCAGTGATCTCAGTTTCTTTACTCTTATATGTTTGTAAATTGTGCATTTTTTGCTTTAAAAATGATGGAATTATGTTGTTCTTATGTTTCGGTTAAGGTTTTTATGCCTTTAGTAAATCTGCAAGCAATATTTGTAGAATTATGAACAATTTAAAAGCCGTTTAAGTGCGGTTAAGCCTAATTTTTAAATAACATGGCGGACATATTTGTTTACATTTGAAACAACAGAATAGTAGACTTGTTGCCAATCTGTAGAGTCATTAGGTTAATTGGAAGCAGAAAAGTTAAAAAATATGCAACCGCCTTCTCCGAGAATCGAACTACGGACCTCTGGAATACCGGCCCAGCGTGCAGAACCACTACACCACGAAGGACGCTAGGAAAGTGGGAGAAATACCTTATATACTACTCCCCTTTTTAATATAGATATTTTGAGTTTTATGCATTTTTGCCTGTCGCGAAGTGAAAACTGAATGAATTGAATGAGAAATACTGAATCGTCTGTGAAAAAACGTTTCTTTTTTGATATTGTTTACTTACTTTCTTTTATACATTGTTTTCGATTTATTATAGTATTTGAATAGAATATGTGGCAATGATTAGATAATTCTTAAGATCATATAAATTTTGTGCATTCTGAGTTAAAAAATGAATGAACTGTATATATATGAACACTGTTAAGTGAACCTAGGGCCATCATAGTTGACACGTATGATGTCGCTATTGACAAATAGAGTGAATACTAAACAAATAGAGTGAATTTTAAAGAGTACATTTATTCTATTGTGGTTTATGCGCTAGCGTCGAAATAAATTTAATTCAATCCAATATGTTTAAGTGAAATGCAAGAAAAAATGCGTATAATTTAATATTCCGTACAAGAAAATCATGTGGTGTACACATCAGATTTTTTTCTATTTAATGTTATTCAAATATCTTCCTTTGTGATTTAATACCATGCAATCTTCTTTAGTTTACAATTTTATTACATTTGGTATGCCTAAAGCATTTGCACACGTATGATTAGTGAGCATTCATATCCTAAGAATAAGCTAGTAATATTTACAAACAATTTTATTCTTATGCAAGATTATAATTTAATAGTAATACAACAAAACTATGCTGAAATATGTGTATATTTAATTAATGCGAGTTGATTTATGCCAGGGCCAATACTGGAATGTTGCCACCGTTTTCTAAAATATAAATTGCATAAGAGCACGTGAATAAGGTCTCCATTTTGAAAAAAAGCTTGCGCTCATCAAAACTTTTCACAACAGTCTGCCTATTGACACTCTTCATTTAATTTTTTTAACTTCAAAACCTTTTTTCCGAACTAATATTTCATTTTTAATTACAAAATAATTTAGATATCTGCTATTTATAATTTAGGTATAATTTATGTCGTTAGTAAATTTAGATACATTTGTGCGAGAATTATATAGTTTTGTACCTGAATTTTCAGAAAACATTACTTGAATATTTTAAAAATTAAATGTATTGTTGAATTTTTGTATCAAGCAAGTATCAAACGTTTTGTATTTTACTTTTTATGATGACTGTCAGCATTTATTAACTATAACGATAAAAACTAGGAGACAACATTAAAATGTAAAATTTCATAATTTTTACAAAACTGATATTTTAAACTTCAGAGAGCCAAAACATGGGTATTTTTGCCATTCAAAAAATTTTTTTAACTGGAAGTACATGTCTGGACCAATGTTTGCAAATATGAAGGTCGCATAAGGACTTTTATGGATACGATATATATGTACGCAAAGGGTAACCACTGAATGCTATCTTTCTAAAAGCATAGAACCTTTATCTTTGATACCAATCTCCTTAAATAATCCTCATCTTCAGAAAATTTTTATAGAGTTGCATTACACATTTAGGATAAATTCATTTATTTATAGCATTCTTTTCATTAATTTTTGAAAATTTTATTTTTCTAGCCATCGTCATTATCAATTATGAGAAAACCTTACCTCATATATTATCACAGAAAATTTTGTTTTTGTTTAGACATGAATTATTTTTTTTAATATACAGTTAATTTAAAAATAACATCTATTCATATATAGGATAGTAACGTATAAGATCTTCCATGTCCATTGTTCATATGATAAAGCGCATGTTTTAATTTTTAGCCTTTATCTGTTATCTTTTTTAGACAAAAGTATTGAATCTATTTGATTAAAATTCTTTCAAAACTGCATAATTTGATCTAAGTACCATAGAATAAAATATTTTTAATAACTATTTTAATTTAAAACTGAACTGTTGTCACTGACTTTAATCAGGAAACGTATTCATAATTTTAGCAAAATGTAATCTTTTTGAGGTCTGTATTTATAGATTTTTATTTCAAAGCTTAATATTTTACATGCAAAATAAAAACATCAAAAGATTTTATATTTATAATCTATCTTTCACGTGCAATTATTTAGATAAAAATTTTTTTTGGTAACAGGTACATGAACTCTCCTTAATTTCTGATATTTCATTAATAGATTAAAAGCCCAAGGAAGCAAAATTTTATTTTCAGAGAAGATAATTTCAAAATAACATCTTGAAACTGTTTAGAATATTAATTACCTACTTGCAGATCATTTGGATGCAATTTCTTTGATGTTAGGAGTTTTGGAAACAAAATAATTAGCATATTTTCTGGCGAAGAGGAAACCTTTATGTTTTCTTTGTTTTCCAAACACAAAAAGCCTAATAAATCCTTTAAAGCAATGTCTTACGTTGCAAATTTTATGCATTCATTATTTGTTATTAGTAGATGAACTGCTCATTAGTTTTCATTTGAATAATAAGAACGGTGTTTCTTTCAAACTACTAGAAAACTTATTATATTGTAAGATATACATGCTAGTAGAACTTTCAAACTACTAGCATGTATATCTTACAATGTCAAAAGTATTAAATCAACGTTTCTCAGTATATGAGCTTGATACGTCGAAAGTGTTCTAAACGAAAGATTATTAAATTATCTCTATTTAATATCTAGAAACTAAATAAAATAAATATCCTTCTTTAGTACAAAGATTTAAGAGATGAACAATTTTAATTTATAGTTACCCAGATTTCCTGTTCTTCTTTTGGAGCTCAATAATCTATTCGGAATAAAATGAATAAATGAAAAAATATCTTAACTTGCATTACAGTGAATATGTATTTAGCCTACAAATTAAGGAAATTATGTGGATATTTCAAATATCTGTCTGAGTTGTGATCCCAGTTAGTTAAGATATTTTTAGATGTACTGCAGTTTCAAATATTTGACGGCCTGTAAAAGAAAGTGTGAATTTTAGAAGAGTGTTTTATAGACGAAAATATTGCAGTACATTCTGATCAACGTAATATTAAATTATTTATGTACCAAGAGAGTTAATTGTTTGCTTCATTAATTCAGTTCAGGCAACGTATTACATCGATTTACACGAATTTCCGAGTTTCTAACGCATAATATAATATTAATTATGCCCTTTTCTTCACCAGATGGCGAAACGGAAGATGAGCACACCAATGTTGCATGCAGGGAGCAAATTTCGATCGGGGCTTCTGCAACTGATGATACACACAATTGATCCTCTGCATGATGGTAAGTTACAGACAAACTTGATCCTGAATATTTTATAATCCCCCAAAAAATTTATAACATGCCTTTTTGATGATATCAATACTTTATACATATTTTACCACTTATAATGCTTTGTGAAATATGAAAATTCGTTAACATGATAAAAGTGGTTAATTATTAAAATAATTTTAGAATATAGTTGTGTTTCATCACTCTTCAAGAATTGTGCAAATGTCTTTTTACTGAAGCTATGAGGTTACTTTATGTCTTTTTTTATCTTCACACGTTTCGACTCGAACATGTTAGAACCTCTATCGTCTTTAGAAAAATAAATGTCAAAATAGCATTAAAAATTTATTAATGTTGCAAACATTTATGTTTAAAATGAAAAGAAACTCATTATTCCATTATAATTTTAAGCGTAAAAAGCCCCAAGTTTCTTCGGAATACAGTTTGGAATCCACTAAATTATGTAAATAAATTAGCTAAACTAAATTTTCCTTTTAATAATTCGGTCCTATGACTTCTACTCGTCTTACATTTTACAAAACGCCAAATGTTCTTTAAATGTAATTTGCAAAACACTACCTTCGTTTAAATCAGGGCAACGAGGGTAGAAAGCATGATAGGTAGAAAACTGTAGAAATTAAATATAATTTCTCAAAAATACCCAAGCACTGACGGATTTCATAGTAAACTTAATAATGCATATGTAAGCTTAATATATTGTGAAAATACAATTTAATCATATATCTGCTTGGATGCATAATTTCGTTATGAGTAATTAGAGAATGTAGTGTGAATTTAAAACTTCTACTTCTAAATACTCATAAGGTATGGTTATCAGCCATATGCTTGCAAATGGTTGTCATTTATTTGTTTGCTTGTAGCCTGGCTAATGAGATTTAAGAGTATTTATTCAAATTTTAATTTTAAAATTATTTATAGTATTTATTTGAATTTAACAATATTGTATGTAGTAGGTGAAATTTTTTAAAAAATATTTGTTACATTCCATTAATAAACCCAATCTAAATCAACTTTAATGAACTTCATACATTAAGCTTAAAATATTATTATAAATTATACCCAATTCTACACTCGGGTGCAAAATTAAGACAATTTGCAAATATGTCTATTTTTACCAAAGATATTCAAGCAAATGTTATTCATTATGCCGCCAACAAAATTATGCAAATATTCAGATTCAAATACGTGAGCTTTCACGTGCGTGTCTACAGATTTATAATAGTGAAGAGAATATAATTGTACGAGGGTTTCGACGATTTGTGTGCCGACATTCGCTGTGTTTCAAGCAAGAGTTTGGTCAATTTTAGAAGGTATCAGGTAAAACAAGCAACCGTTAATGTAAGGATGACGGAATGAGACGGAGAATTCAGACCAATAACTAGCGCAGGTGACTTCTCAATGTAGTGCCCAAAGTTATCTGCAATTTGTGGGAACAGTTTCATGACACTTGATTCATATCGAGAAGATTGGACCAGGTCGGCACCAAGATCCATAACGATGAATAAGGATCGTTATTTGGCACTTTTAGTTCGTCGACACAAGATTGCTACAGCTTTACAGCTCTCATATGTATTGTATGCTGCCACTGGAATCCTAGTTTCACGGTCTGCAGTTGCCCGAGGGCCTCATAAGATTGGGCTGTTTGCCAGAAGTTTACTGAAGCATACAAGAGAGCGAGTTTTAACATGGTGAAGAAAATATGCGCCTTGGGCCAGATTTCATTGGAGCACCGTGCTTTTTAAAGATAAGGCGAGATTCAACCTGGATGCTGATTCTCGCCGTAAATGTGTCTGGAGAGGGCCTGGAACATGATACCATCTTTCCTTATTGGGGATAAGGATCATTACGGGGGCAGAGAGGGATAGTTTGGGTAGGCATATATTCGGCAGCTACACTGTCCTGCATGTGTTTGACAAAAATTCCCCGACTGGTATGAGGTATAGAGTAGAGATCTTAGACCCCTACGTTCGACTTTTCAGGGGTGCAGTCGGTCCTGGGTTCTTGTTAGTGAACGACAACTCTCGTCCACATGGGACTCAAATGATCGACTGTAACCTGAAAAGTGAGGATATTCGTTACATGGATTGGCTAGCCAGATCTCCTAACCTAAATTCTACAATGCATGTTCGGGGCGCTCTTGAGAGAGTGATTGCATCTTACCATCCTTCTCCAAGACCTGAAAACTACTTCTCGAATGTGATCGACTGCTGCAGAAACTCCTCATCTGCCTCCCGTCCAGTATTCCATCCAGTGCGGGATTTCTGCCTAGTCCTACAAGGCCCCGGCTCCGCTGGTGGAATCATTACATAAGCTCAAAATCCTGGCTTGCATTATCAAAAAGTTTTATTGAAAATAATATTGTAATAAAGATTTTTACTACATTTTGTCAAAACAGGGTGCTCAAAATATAACTTCCAGCCCTGCGCGCAACAAATCTAGAATTAGGCCTCTTCATTTCCCCTCTTTCTTGTAAGCCGTACTCTGCGCCAACTGTCAACTTCAAACATTGCGCAGAAAGCAAATTTTGTTTCACTGCGCAGTGTGTGCGTACGCGAGATTCGCCTACTTAGGAATGTAAGTTTTTAGCTTACCCCCTCCTGAGTTTACTCTCCTCTCGCTGGCCTTCTTGTGTCGATGGTTGAGATACGGTCGTTCATCTCGCAGCTCGCATACAACATGACAACGGACGAGCGGTTCCTATTGTTTGGTTAAAACAAATGGTTGACAACGATGCTGCTTCACAATTGGCGCGAGTGGCAGTTAAGCCACCGCCTTTTTGTCGCCAATAAAATTTGCTGCCCTTGCGGATGAACAATACCGGGATTCAGAATTATAAACCCTCTTAAAAAGCAAATCTTCCACCAATCTCAACTTGCATCCTATGCAGCTGTCACCTGGAAAATCACTTTATTGTGATGTTCGGGATCCAAGATTTCGACCTTATATTCCCTCCGTGTTTCGCCATGCCATTTTTAGTCACTTACATCGTCTGTCACATCCTGGCATCAAGGCTTCGAGGAAACTGATACAGCACCATTTCGTATGGCCTAGAATGCAAAAGGACATATCCAACTGGACACGTTCGTGCTTGGAGTGCCAAAGATCTAAAATTGTCAGACACACCACAACCCAACTTAAAAATTTTAATTTGCCCTCATCTCTTTTCAATCACGTGCACCTCGACTTGGTCGGCCCATTGCCGCCTTCTAATGGATATTCCTATATTCTTACTTGCATTGATCGATTTAATCGCTGGCCCGAAGCCGTTCCTTTGGTACATATTTCAGCTGATGCGGTGGGAAAGGCATTTTACACCGTTTGGATTCTCGATTTGGAGTTCCGGAGCAGATTTCTACTGACCAGGAGCGTCAGTTCGAGTCCCAACTCTTCATGTCACTAACTAAGTATTTGGGCACTTATAAAGTGAGAACAAGCCTCTACCATCCAAGTTCCAATGAAATTATCGAGGGATTTTATCGCTCCTTCAAACAATCAATTCGATGTCACACTGCATTACAATGGATTGATGTGTTACCTACTGTACTTCTAGATCTTCGATCAGCGTTAAAAGAGGATCTGAATGCCTCTTCTGCTGAACTGGTATATGGTACTAATCTCCGTTTGCCTGGGAATTTCGTACATTCAGTCAATCCATCTACCTGCAATGTAGATTCTGTGACATTCATGCATGAGCTTAAGAACTGCATCTCAAAACTGTGCCAGTGCCTCAAACCAGTGCCTGTCAGTGCTTATTGCAAACAAACTCTGTTCGTGCATAAAAGAACTTAGAAACTCATCTCATGTTTTCTCAGATTTGATGCTTTAAAGCCTTCTTTCGCACCACAATTTTCAGGGCCACATTCAAGTGCTAGCTCGAAACGAAAAAACATTTCAAATTTTGGTCAACGAAAAAGAAATCGTCGTTAGTATCGACCGTCTTAAGCCGCCATTTATCTGGACACCAGAAGCCACTGGAGAGAATATGTCTTCACCATCGCAAATTCCTTCTCAAGAACCACATCTATCTCCAACAGACTTCAGTGCAAGCTGTTCGAAGCCTTCGACAGAAATCACGACTTCCGACCTATCAGATGCTACGACAAGAACACGCTCGGGACGTCGAGTTCGCATCAACGCAAAGTATTTATAAGGTATCGGTAGCACTGGAGGGGGAGTAATGTGGCTACTTGCCTACTACGACTCAACGCTGCTAGTCTGGTAACCCATAGCGACCAAAAACAAAATAATGTTTACTCTATTGTTATTATTAACAACCAGTAACTTGTACTACTATGAATTTTATAGAATAGCATAACTATCGTAACATAGACTGTATTATTCTGAATTCTGAAAATTATATGTTCTGTACTAGTGCATTTAATTTGCTAAATTTCCAAAATAGCTTCGAGATGGTGGAGGGCCCAAATGTCAAGTGCCTATGGGCCCTGGGTCTCTAAGTCCTGATTCCATCACGCTGCTATCAGGGTATGAGAGGAGACCACATTCCATGTTAGACTTATTTTCAGTTCGATATCACAACATTGATTTCTGAGATCCCTGCATTAGGAGCTTTACTGATAATTATGTGTACATAAAATGGCTTTTGAATGATACATCTCTTTCTCTGTTATAAATATATATTAATACCAAATTTCATTAAAATGTGTCCATTAGTTTCACAGAAATTCGATATAATGTGCGAATTTTCTTTATTTTGCATACGAGTGTATTTGTTCACGAATCTCTGGATTTCGTAATTTCCTCCAGTTTATCGGCTTAACATGATTTCTTTAAAAATAAAGAGTTACGACAGACCTAATAATTTAAAAATTAACTCTCGGAACGTAGAGATACAGCATATAAAACCTATTACAAACGATCTGGTTCAGGACAACATTGCAAAACAATAGATGAGGAGCTTGTAGTAATATTATTCTGCCACAAAATTAAGCACAGTCGAGATCTTTTACTTATTCAAAACATAGCTGATG